TCTAATAAATCTAAATTTCCCTCCTTTTCTTTCTAGAATAACTTCAAATATAGCACAAAGCTGCATTCATTTATCCTAAATAACTTTAACCTCATAACAGTATACATCTATTTATGAATAAATTTTATTGTTTTATTGCTCTTTGAACCTGTGTCTAACTACTATTTGTGCCATTATAAGTTGTAAATCACTTGGGGAACGTGCAGCTCATATTATGTTATCAAATTACATTACCCACGAGCTACTCCAAGATGCTCGCATGCTTGCGTCGTGAAATATTTTAATTATATTATTATTATTGTTTATTTTACCTAATCTAACCTTAACTAGCCTAAAGAGATCTCTATTTTTATATTTTAGTTAGTTTTATAATAATAAATAAAATAAGGATAAATAAGTATTCTTTTTGTTTTGTTCTCGACTATTGATGACGGTTAACTCTACTTTTTGAAACTAATGGTAGTAGTGTATTAAATAATTAAATAATGCATCAAAGAACAGTCTAATAACAAGCAAAAAACAGACAATTTCCTCAGACAATCACAATTTTTCTGGCTTTCTAACTATACAATAAGAGCCATTACAAATGCATCCAAGTTAGCCATTGTGGTTCCTGTGGGAAACAAAGTTGAATTAAAAGTGACATTGACTATTCTGTGTCCAGAACACAACATTATATAATACGTCATTTGATAGATGAAAACCTTGACTTTCTCTTAGTTATAGGTAATATATAATTACCTGTAAAAGGTTGGTTGTTTGGTGTTTTATAGTGCAAAGCAACTAGGCTATCTGTGCCAAACAACTGGAAAAACAGTAAAAGTAAACTGTAATAAAATGTAAAAATAAAATCAGTTAAAACCAAAATATGTCCAAAGAACAGATAAAAGAACTAAATAAAATTAAAAATACCAATTGTTCTTAAAAAATTGAAAATACAATAAAGTTGGACAGTGTCACCATTGCCAATGACACTGTTCAACGTCAGGGATAAACCCTGACAAAACACGTATCTAAAATGGTGCCGCCGCTCACGGTCGTAAAGACAGCATGACAGTAAAATGTGGGCTATTGTGACTTGAGTGTCACAATGATGAGTTAAAAAACTGTGACCAATGCATAGCCTTGCCAAGAACAACTTCCTCCTTCCAATCCTTATGGAAGCAAGATGACCAAAGAGCAACAGAAAGTTTGATCCGGAAAAGCTTGTTCTGACATTGCTCACCCCAAGTCGACTGCCAACTGGCGCAAAGCCACACCTTGAATACAGCACCATAGTCCATGTATGGAACAGGCATGGCTGTGACAGCCCCAGAGCAGATGGACTT